TGGCCGACGATCGAATGCGCAAAGGTGGTGAAGATGGAGCTAAAATCAAAATATTTGCCTTACAGTTCGTTGTTTAACTTCTTCATTCAAAAACCGGCAAATTGTAGTTTAGGAGGAACTCCTGAGCACTTATACCCGGGTCTCAGAGGATAATTGACCCTATGGACCAAATGCGTAGTCACATAGTATGACATATTGGCATCTATTTTCCTGGCAGTTACTTAAAATAAAAAACCTTCTATATCCACTTTAGCATTTTAAGATTAATCAATGTGTCTAGGCCCAGCTACTCTTTATCAAGCAAACGTCACACCTTTGTGACGCTGAAGTCTGATATCTGGTATATGTGCGGAGGCAGAATAAAGCTGAAAAATTATGAAATGATAATTCTCACCTTCCTGATTAGTAGTGAAGTGAACAGGTTTGGTTGATGGTGAAACATCCCCATTCACACCGACAGATCTGCACCAGACCGTGTAGTTGGTGTAGGGCTTCAGTCCAGTCAGCTTGGATTTCACTTTTAACTCTCCCTGCTCCGTCTCTGCTATGGGGATCAGTCGGAACTGTAGACCAACCTAAAGGAACAAACTTTATTTCTTTAATACGTCAGCCTAATTGATTAGAGTTATTTCGCCCCTTTTAGACCAGGTGGTTTTTGCCATAAAAGCATTTCATGGTATAGCCTGAAACTCATTCAACAACAGTAAAATTGTGTTCCCAAAAATTAACTCATTTCATCACTCGAATAGTAAAACTGATATTGTGAACACTCATATCAAAAGTTAGAGACAAGGGGGTATTTTGATGAAACTGAGAAACTTATATAATTTAAGTAGTATTTTTTGATTACCAACTGACTAACTAAAATAAGTGTATTTTTGTACATATTAAACGCCACAACCTCATCATCCTCTTTTCTTGACTATATAATAGACTCATACACTCGAGTCGCATTTAAGAGAGCAGATATTCGGCATCTCCACAGAATCAAAATCGCGTTTAGTGTAGATGGGGCTCACTTGAAAACCGTATTTATTTATTTAGAGACTCATCGCGAATCTCTTCTGCCAGCAGATATGGTAGACTTTCAGGTCGTCTTGAGTTTTTTTATTTTGTCTAGATAAATAAAAACAGTCTCCTTTACTTCGTCAGCCTCGATACCAAGCATACACCAACGTCTGTAACTGCAAGTGTTAATATGCATGAATATTCAGTTGTTTTCATCGCTCTGCTCACTGAAAGGTTCGAATCCGACTCAATTTCATTGCGAGTTTTGCGTCGAATCTACGTCCAGGATATTCGTTCGCAGGAATGACTGCAGCGGATAATGATATGAGGGGCGCCATAGCCGAGATAACCGCTGGCATATAGACATCTCACCAATCTTCCTACTACTGTTGTACCAAACTTAACTACTTTTATGGGAGTAGATAACTGCTTGTCTAAAGTTTACGAATTTTTTTGGCAAAAACTGTGGTCTGGCGTTGCAAATAGCAGTGTCCGGCATGAACTGTCCACAACATATGCATCGCTTACTAGAAGCACTGACAGACTATACTCATCACCTACTACTGCATGTAATACCGTCTGAATTAAGCAGAGTATGGGATTAATTTCAAAATGCATTTACCTAGCGCATACCAGACTTGGAAGTTAATCGTCATCAGCTGTCAAAATTGCACTAAGCGAAATGCTTTTGAATGTTTTCTCGGTCTGTGAACGCAATTCGGCTATCCCTTTCAGCCTCCGCTCCTCTCGCCCCTCCTCTCCTCGTCTTTGACCGTCCATTCGTTCACTCACTCATTCGTTCATTCGTGCATCCACCACCCACCGCGTTAGTTGAATCGGTACGAATCATGGGAACGCTGGACTTTTTCTCCCCAACCGTTCACACATTTCATTAATATTTTGAACTGTCGTATGGTGGATTTCAATCAAAACAGACAAAAGCAAATGGGCAAAATGGACAGGTGTTTAAAACGCAAATTAGTGTTTCTCTGAGAGAGCTTTATCTGCATTCAAAAGTACTAAATAGGTTTGGTAGTTCCTTGACTTAAACGTTAAAGAACCATCCTCTACTCTTCTTACAGGGTGTCATTCAAGCTAAACTGGAATCACTGACCCGACGGCCAATAAAAGGGTGGAATACTGCACGCAGCAGCAGGCGGCAATTATGCTCCATTACTATCTTCTATATTTGTCGCTATTTTCGTAGGCCGGGCCAATTCGGACACCGTTAATCACATTGTCAGGCAGTGATGATGGTTGTGGAGGCATGAATACATGCATGTCCGCCGCGACTGCCTCTAGGGACTAGGCTTAATGGTGGGATATACGCCATTATAGGTGGGAGCTGGAAACAATATGGAAAAACCCCCGTACCACATAAATGTGTCTCCTCTCACTCTCTGGTGATATGAAGCCCTGCTCTAGGTGTCACCCGTGCCACTGGTCTTCCAGGCCCTTCAACCTTATTTGTTTTATGCTCTTCAAGGATGACCTCCTATGTTACACTTAACCCTATTTTTCTCTCTGCAAACCGAATCCCTTTTCCCTTAGGAAAATTTTAGCTTTTGTCATATTTAGCTTATCAAGCAGATATGGACAATATTAAACTCAAGCTATTTACTTACATGTAATTTTTGAAAAATCAGGTTTCCAAAGTGATTAAACAGGTTGATATTTAAAGAAGAAAAGCAATTCTTTTCAGCATTGGAAATGGCGAATTAAATATGGGACAATTTATATCCTTCCTCCTTTTTCCCATTCAATTAGCCTTTGGCTAGGACAATTAGTGTAAGCAAGTGAAATAAAACAATTTATTTGCCTAATTACTGCATTTTTTTGTGTCTTTCTCAAAGCCTGTAATTTGTTTGCTGCATTATTTAGTGAGACCTTTTTTAGTGAAATTAGGCCCACTTGTTTGAGGCATTCCTTCACCCGCAAAAGTTGTCACTTGTCTATTCCTGTAAGTTGATGAACAAATGACAAGGTGGTAATTCAGCACGGCCGACGAACCTTTTGGCTGGAAAATAAGACTGTTCATTGGATACACCAAAAACTAGATGAACACTGGGAATTACAAATGCTTTACGGAGGTTCAACATACACCTTAATCGAGGTGGAGGAGGTGGTGGACTGTCACTAAGAAGCGTTCGGTAACCAATTTACTGTTTTTGTTCCTTCCAAACCCCTGCCTTACTTCTAAAAAAGACAACCTTGACTTAAAATAACTTTATAAGATCCCAAAAACGGATAAAAAAACGTCAAAGAGAATGCAACACTTTCGGGCGACTGCAATTTAAACTACCGATTTCTGGATTCCTTACAGGATTTATGAGAAAATTTCACTGAAGAGCTTGTTCACCACTACCTTGTCAGTTTTATATTAGGACAATTCATGATTTATTGGCTCTGTAGAGCAACAAAATCGCCTTTTTCCTCATCATTGTAAATGTTATTCACCACCCACCACAACCTTTCCCATCTCCAGGTCCTCGGTTTCTTCAGCAAGTCGTTAAAGTGGATGTAACCTTTTTTTCAATTATCCCTGTGCTTCAGTTAATAGGCAGAAAAGATAAAGGTGTCAAATTAGCCGGGGACTGTAAAATTGTCATAAAAAATCGCATAAAATTTACAGCTCCTCAGCGCAAATAGGTTAATTGCAACACCGGACTACGCTGCAATTATTACCGGAGGAGAACAAATAGACGTGGACAATTCGGTAAATTGATAAAAAAGGCGGTAAATCTAGAATAATTCCGTGAATATTTTCACCAGTAAAATGATCAAGTGTAGGTGGGCATATCTCAGGCAAACTTCGAGGTGATACGAGACATCGTATTGAGCGTTGCGCCGAGCGATGCATTGGATCCAGGTCGGCAGCACATTTGAAAGTGTTGAGTGAAGAAATTGCGATGCAGTGAAACAGATGGTAGTCACTTTGGCTTCCTCATGACGAAAGAGTAAGATTATTTGGCGTAATGCTCATTTAATCTAAGCTACTCCCATTTAACCCAGCATAATCTCAACCAAGTAAATGCCCTCAAACCTGATCCGGTTTGATTAGGTCCGGTCAAATGCAATCGAGCCGTACACCTTTAAATCCCACATTTATTAAATAAAGAAACCCAGCCATAGTCGGTCTTGTCCCACCCCAATTCTTTGTCCGACTGTCCATTCTAATTTGTGTGCGATTATGTGTTTGTCCAATACCGAGAAAAGGCAATAACTTCTTGAGAAAATAGAAAAACAATAGGAAGGATGAGGATGAGGCGCCGTTTTTCTCTTGGTATAGAGTGCATGCGGGTAAAGTCTTGCATTGCCTGAAAAGAATGCCAATTTTTTTCCACTAATTTAACAGAACTGCCCATTCCCAGGGATGATCTACTTTTGGAAACCCTAAAGTTGCATCGACTTAGGCTTCATCCGTAACTGCTGCTTTGCCTTCAGCTAGTGAACACTTTCTTTTGGTAAAATTTGCGCCTGCAGTTCCTCAAAATGCACACAGCAAGTAAAATTTCTGAGAACGGAGCTGTGATTGCCAAGGAGAAGTGAAGTAGTAAGTGGAGGATGACCAATACTGGGTTGGTTCCCCTGAAAGCAAATATAAAAGCCCCTTCTCTCCAAAAGCCAGAAAAAGTTGTGAAGAACACGTACACTGTCTTCCAAGTTTGTTGTTACTCGTTGGTTTTGTTAATTGCTAGTCATTTGCTTACTCTTTCATGACCTTCCTCAGCTATCCAAAAGAAGTTAAGCCTTATCACTGTCACCACTAACTTGTGGTTCTTTATCATGTAGAAGAGGGTGTTTCTAAATGGGAGGAATCTACTATTAAGTGCTTCATTGTTGAAATCCAATTACCTAAACCACTCCCATTCTTTCCACGTTTAATGCTTTTGAAGCTTTACACAGAGACACACAAATCAAACACAATGAGGCGTGCTAACCAACTGAATCCTTAAAATGCGCTTATCTTCCGGATTCCCCAGAGTTACAAATCATTCCAGAGAGCCACGTCCACAAATGGTACCAAATTTCCTGGCCAACAGATAAATCAAAAGGCCAAAATAGGCGGAGCCCATGTTGTCCTTCATGGTCATGTTTTCTTCCCCAGTAACAACAGAAAATGTCTGGAAAAATAAATGGCTAGTCCTTGTGCATCCATTGCAGACTTGGCCATTAATGAAACGAGACAGTTCCAAACAAACTCATACAGTTGTATTGATTCCAGGTGTATTAAACTGGAATAACGACTCGCACACATGGACGAAATGGACAAATTTGTAGCTCTAACAAATAGCCGTGATGTAGGAAGCTCTTCAGAGTGATCCATGAACAAGCCTTTATTGTCAATGTGTAAGGCATAGAAGAAAACTCCCCTCCCCGACAAAAAATAACTGGACCTACCAGCAAGATTTCTGAAATCCTACCTGATTGCTAGCTTCGGTAGCAGCGGTGGCTACCGCAGCGGATAAATGAGGAGAAAAGAGGACACTGTTACCACCGATTGGGTGGATAGCGGCTGCAATATCCGGTGAGAGAGAGTTGAGGTAATCACGTAGAAAGTAGCGGCTCTCGATCCACTGCACTACGAAAGCGGCTATATCCGGTGCCGTTGTGATGGTATTGGTAGCTGTGACAGTGGTGAATGACAGTGGTCTGTCAAAGACGAGGGTCACTTCACCGGGTTTAAGCTGGTGTAGCACTTGCGGTTCGCCAGGTGTTGGCGGAAGCTCTGGAAGAGAAGGAAGATAAGAATTGTTTACCCTAGTGCTAGTTTGTGCCGGAAAGGTCTGGATACTCAAATCTCATTACGGAGTAAGCAAACAGGCTGCTAAGAAAGAGGCACATGTCTTTAGAAAAGAGTTTCGATTTGGGGGAAATAGCCTGGCATTCGCTGCATTATCACCACTTTTTGGACTATTTTTGAAGCCAATTTCTCAAATTAATAAACTGCTAGAATTTTTTTGCTGTTAACCAATGAGCTTCTTTTTAGCAGCAAAAATGGGCCACCAAAAAGCTCAGTAACCAAAAATGCGGTGATTTATTGCGCTTTGGGGAGGAAATACAAAATGCTGTGCGTTCTTTATTGGTTTACTGGTTTGAATAAGAAATACTGTTCTGACAGTAGATTGTAATCTCGAAGATGAAACCTTGGCAAGGAGCATAGTGAACAGAGACAGGCTGAAGGCAGCCGTAAATGCAAAAGAAAAATACGTGACTTGAAGACATTAGAAATTTCCTTTCTATCTTCAGCGTTCACCAGATTAGAATGTACTGAGATGGCAAAGTTGTGGAACTTATGAATTTGGAAGTCACTTCGACACAAACGCACAGAAAGGAGGTTTAGAGATATGAAGATTAAATTCGAAATAGCTGTAGAGGTAACAAAAAAAATAATGAAAAAAGCAATTTTTTCTAGGTGTACATACCATGTATTAATCAGTCTTTGAACTAGAAACAAAATCAAAATTCTTGGGGGGCTAAAAAGTCTTTTTTGTCACCCTTGCTAATTTTAAGGTTTTTTAAGACCAATAGGAAGGAAACCAGCAAAATCCGACATCAACTATCTAATTATGGTGTGAAACAAGCACAGATATGTATATATTTTTTTAATGAACCAATCACTTTTAAGGAAGCGTAAAATTTTACTATTTTTGTCCATTTGTGTATCATTTAATTATGTTGATGGCGGCCCTGAATATTGTTACAAGGGTGACAAGTGCACTGTTTTTTCAAAAAAAATAAATTTCGTGAAAATAAACTTTGACAGACGAAGGCGAATAATCAAACTTTAGCATCAAAAATAGCTGCTTTTCCAGCATCCCGTTTGTTTCACAACGCATAAAACGACATTCAGTACCTCGTATTCTTTTTCCACTCAGTCTCGTGGTTTAATAAAGCAAACGGTGTAATTTATCACAAACCTGTTTATTCCTTTCCAGAAAACAAAAAAGAGGGCACATTATCTAGAAAAGTCATTCAATATAACTCAACCAAAAAGGGTAAGTGTATTTTGGCTTATTTGCCACGAATTTCATGTAGTTCGTTAAAAATGCCTGTGCAAAGTATACAATTGTTAATTTTTTTCTCCACCATCTGTACGAAAAAATGGTCATTTGTTTCTCTGTAAGTTTATGATGGATTGTGATAAGTTAACTACAAGATGGTAAGCAGTTTGCAATATTCAAACTGTGTAAATAAAAGGTCATTTTGAAGATTTACTTAAAAATTTATTATTGTAAAATAAAAATAACTTGAGTTGGAGAAAAAATTCTCGCCACCTTGATGACTGCTGGTTTAAAAAAGGGTTGAATTTTAAGCAGCAACTTTACTAAACTATTTTTGAAATGCTCTGGTTTCCCAAAATAAAAAACGCTTAAATCTACTAATTATTTATAGTGGTGAGTCCATTTTTACCAAACTCATACATCAATTTACTCATTTTAATCTCTGGATCCATCATGATTAACTTATTTTTGTTAATCGACAGGTTAGAAGTTTAAATAGGCACCCCAAATTGGCGCCAAGTACAAAGTGACTTTTGAAATATTCATCTGCTACTTTAGCAATTAAATTTTGACCTGTAATTATTCCAACCTGTCAAGAATTTTTTCGCCCAGTTTATTGTTTTAAACTTGGCCAATTATTTTGAGTTACCTAACCGGAAGCAAATAGTTGTTATTAGATTTTGTAAACAACACATGGTACACATGTAACATGCTGGTTGTCTGTTTAACTCCTGGTTTTGGTAAAGGGCCACTTAATTTTATGGCCGTTGTACCTTTATCACGTGGGCTGGCCTCTAAGTCAAGCCAGTAGCCTCAGTGCCTTCTGTACGCTAAATATGTATATTCTGCCCCAGTATTATGTCTTCTCTCGTCTTCAAGGAAGTCCAGGGGAGATACACCCATACGTGGTGTCATGTGTAACTTCACTGAATAATGCACAATGAGCTAGGAATCTCCAATTGAAGTTTTTACTACTTTGCCACTGAAAGACTCACCTTACTCTTCTGTACGGGACAAATAACGTGCCTAAATGATACAATGAGCTAAACTAAGTAAAATCTAGGCTGTGAAACAAATTTGCGTTTCATGAATGTCCAAAACCAATCAAAGACAATCGAAGTCGTTGACCTAGAACTTTTTTAGTAGATATTTAGAAAATATATGCGCAGCCAGAGGCATCTACCTTCAAGTGATAATAAAAACTGAAGCGAGGCCTTAATACGATTGCTCTTGGTTTTATTCGCGTACCATAGGTAAAAGAGACTTGTGCTTTTGTGGCATCAAAGTTGTCATGAAATGCACTGTTGGAATAGTTCAAACAACTTCAAACATTAGTAAAAGAATATTTTGACTGATTTGACCATGGATAGTTGGCGTTTTCAGAGGTTCTAATCGACCAAAATATTTAAAACTTGACTATGGATTCACCACGAGATGAATGTTACTGTCAAGGATGATATTTGCTTTGATTTGGCATCCATATTGATCACATTGGTGACATGCTCACGCTACCATCTGTCCTGCCGGTCACCTAGTCGGTCTTCGCTCGGAATCATACTCCTCATGGTGTCTTTGGAAATGATTCTGACTCTACATTGGCTGTGAAGGTAAGTTCGTTTCCAAAAAAGAGATAACACAACACAGAAAGGCCTCCAACATGGTGTCACGGTTTGACAGTATTGAAGCCTAACCGCATTGGAATGAATAGGAACCCGCTACAAAAATACTCGCAGCTACATTAAAAAGAGCTGTCTTTTTACCATTTGCAAAGTATAAAAGGCCCTTTTTAGACTGCCATATGCTGATTTGAACCAACCCTTCACTACAATAGTGACGTAATGAGTCGCCTGGCCCATGGCCGATGCCGCCACGCAGGACACATTGCGCGACTCCTTCAGATTTGTCAGCGACAGTCGTGCAGTGCCGGGTGGTTGTCGATCGAGCATGTTGCGGAAGAGTTGGGTCCCATGTTCGAACCACGCCACTGTGGGTACAGGAACTCCCACTGCAGTACAGGTCAGTGCAATCTGTCCACCCGGTGGCACCACCTGTTGGGCCGCGGGGACTGAGGTGAAGTGTGGACGAAAGCGGTCCGCTGATTAGGGGAAAGAAGGAGAAAAATAAACAAACTTACACTGGCAAGAATGGATAACATTCCGGAAGCCGAAAGACCGAGGAGCCGAAACCAGGAGCTTGCAAGTGCACGAGGCATTCATAAAAACCCGAATTCCTTAGTCTAGGAATAAAAGTCTGAAATCCGGTCTCCAGAGCAAAAAGTATATATCGTTCGTGTAAATCTAGAAACGAACTATTTCAACCAGAAGGGTGGATTGTGTGAAATGTCACTAGCAAGGCTTATAAGTCCCATTTTTAAACTAGGAAAATGGAACATTTGGAGGACGTTTGGAAGCGGAAAGCAGATCAATTGTAGCGTTTCTTGGTTGTTTGAAACAGAAAATTAGTTTGATAACTACGGGTAATAGCTAATTGACAAATACAAAATATATGTACAGACACATCTGTGACGTTTAAAAATAGGAAGACTTTTTTAGATTAAATTAACTTGTGATTTCTTGTTCGAGCCTCCTCACTAAAAATTTCAACCAATGGAAAATTGAGGGCGAAAATTCGAAAGAACCAATCAAATTTGGCTAATTATGTCATGCAAATGGCCGTGTTGTACCCATTGACAGCTGAAATGAGCTTTTACACGCACAAGCAAGCCAAGGCATCATGCAGTGGGCAAGGAAAGAGGTTTTAAGATAGCCACACCAAATTCGTGCTTCGTTCATTCATTCCCTCTTTGACTCATTCCATCTCCGTTTAGAGGAGCGCAAGCTTGAAAGCAGCGACCTACTTTTGAGGGCTATAATCTGCAGGGCCTCCTCAATATCCTCTGCAAGAAAGAAGGCGCTTTAAGAGAATAGTTTTCTCGGAAAATTAAGCAGCCCATATTAATTATAACATGGAAGCTTGCTACGATACAAGTCTCAAGCAGTTGATATGTTATATGTCAAATTTGGGTTTCAGAATAGGTATTTTGTTATCAGCATTTATAGGAAAAATAAAAAAATCTTACATGTTATAGAATTTGAATTTATTTACTTCATTTTCGTCGCTTTTTTATTTTTTGTGTTGTAAGAAATGATAAAATAAGCTGAATAGATTCGTATCAACTTCCATGATAAATTAAAAACTTGTAGTTTTATTTCTCCAGCATCGATGAGTTAAAAACAACGAACCAATCCCCGAATTTATTTACTGCCTTGCTACCACGGTTTTATAATAAAATTCTAAAGCGATCTCCGAAGAGATAAGCATTTACATTATTTATATTGTTCCCGGGCATGAAAATCAACTAACACTGGCATTGTGTAACTGTTCTAGGATATTCTTAAGAATTGTAAAAGTTTATTTTGAATAAAACAATAAATAGGAAAAAGAAAATTGCACAGATTGATGGCAAATAAAGATAAGATTTTTGTAAGTTGACTAGACCAAATCTTTTACCTATCATTAAATTTAACTTCGAGCTGGCAAGATTTTGAATTTTGACATAGTACATAAGGTAAATGAATTGATCTTTGTTGGGCGTTTAAAAGCAAACTTTTTATTCTTGTAAGAAAATTGACTGTAACTACAAGGGTGGAGGTATATCTTCAAAATTCTCAGCCGAGTCTGCTGATTTCACGAAACGGCTGATGTAAGTAGTATTGGTGACAGCAACTTTGGTCCAGTAGGAAGACGCGCTTACCTCGCACCATGAGATTTTCTCCTGGGGAGATGCGTGTGCCATGCGAGTTTGTGGCTGTACACTCATACTTGCCCTCGTCATCTTCCATCAGTCGCGCAATTTCCAGGCTGCCTGCAGCTGGAATAGAGGAGTAAAGGATACATAGGTGAATGTCTTCCCTACTACTTGGAAAGCACAAGCACTCATATACTATAACGTGGTACCAGGGGATTTTTTTGTGTCTACTACCTCAAAATTTTGACACCTATTCATGTGACAGGTCAATGTCAGCTAGATTAATAGCATAACAATGCTATAAATGGAATACTTGATATTGCCACGACCCAGCCTCCATGACATCGGTAATAGAGCTCCGCTTGTGCTAGTCCTGTACAAACTCTGAACTAGTCTGCAATATGATACCTTTAGAGATAACTGGGAGTCCATTTTTAACAGCAATAACAGCAACATTTCTTTATCCCAGAGAAACAGTTGACGCTGTCACTTATGGAGTATAATGAAATGCTGTTGTCGACACTTTTTCCATTGCGATTGCAACCAATCCATCAACCAAAAGTACGACTGTTGCAAGGATCCTTTATGTTTTTTCTTTGAAAATAAACTCAAAGGATTTTTACTTGGTGTACTTTTCAAAGTGCAAACTGTCAAATATTAAATCAGCATGCACACTTCCGGATTTATTTAAATTGCACATTTTTGGAGATTTTCCATACAATAGTCAAGACTGAGTGGTAGCGATGAATTCACCAACTGTGCGATCTTTGGAATGCTTCTTTACTATTAATTTGTCCATGTTCCAATATTCCGTTTAGAGAATTGGCTACATTTTTGGTCAATTCCTTTTCTGTTTACCGTGATCCATATAGGTGAACGAAAATAGAAAATTTCCAACTCTCTCGAATTAAGGTGCAACCTTATGACCTCTACAATGCTTTTAGTACAACCAGCAATAAAAGGTATCTTTCTCTCGGTCTGGAAGTAATTTTTGAGCCCTAAAATGACATTTTAAGGAAAACATTTATGATAATCAAAGCAAATTTTTCTATAATACAACCACGGTAAATGATCAGCATTTCAGCTACACCCCTGCTATGACCGCTCCTTCCAGAGAATACACTCTGAATGTAGAATTCTTATTGGCAAAAAGTGTTAAAAATCATTTCAAACGAATTGTACTAAAGTCCTAGTCAAAGAATTAAGGAAGTTAACTCACATTTCGTGTCAAGCTGACAATAAATTAGACCAACCTCACGGCACATTTATATTTTACACTCGAGTAATTCCTCTGTTGTTTTACACTCTCCGCTCAAACAACTTTCAGTCACGTTGAAAGCGGAACTGAGAAAAAGTCCCCGCCTTGAAACACATTATATTCAGTCGCTAAAAGAATATTTTTGACCACAGTAGCGGAAAGCTTGGAAGACATTGCGATATTCCAGGGTGTTTATAAGGAGGCAATGTGCGCTTTAGGGACTCAAGAGTGTTGAGATTAATTTCCTCATATTTTCCTAAGTCAGTGGTACTCTTGCCCATTGGAAGAGACAATTTGATGGATATCCTAGAGATAAACTTTGAAGACAGTTTAAAATTTATAAAAACTGGGGACGATATCACATTAACCTCAACTGAATCCTATATTTAAGGGTTTCCGTAACAAAGATGGTTCGTTTACGTAAAAGATTACATCATTTTGAATACATATGCTGGTAAAACGTGTATGAAAACCATTGGCAATTAATAATGTAAATGATAAAACAGATAAACTTGAATTTCCGGAACTTACTACTAAAATTCACTCACAAGTATTACCGAGAATTTATTTAAAAGGGTAAATTAAACTTTTAGCAAAAAATTATGGCAGTCATTTATGGCGTTTTCTAACTTTGTAAATGTTTAGAACTACTTTAAGGGATTTCATTCCAATTTTATCCAGTATTTTTTAAAAGTGCTCCATATAAATAATTTTGGATATTCTCAAAGAAGCACCCGAACCGATGAGGGTACCCCATGCATCATACCAAGTTGTAATGCTTTCATTACTTGTTCATCTCTTCATTTTGACTTCAAGGGCACTTCAAGGCTCTATCTTTGTAATTTTTATCAACAGAATGACCTTTGTGCCAGGTCAGTAGCCCCGAGGCGACACTGCATGACAGAAATACATATTCTCCACCAGTATTATGATTGTATCCGTCTTCAAGGCAGGATCGGGAGCTATATTTTATATAAAATTTCTCCAAATTAATCAAGTTATTCTTTTTGCTACAGGCATCGGTGCAAATTCATGTTAGAATTCATTTATAAAAAAAATTACTAAAGCGAGACCTTACTCAAGTACCGTCAGGCAGTACTTTAGAACGACTAAAGCGGATCTGTCTCGAGAAAATGGCGTTAATTAATAAAACCTGTCCACATTCATTGTCAGGTATTCACTTAAGCCCGCGTTCAAAAGAAACAAGAGCAAAATTTACCTAAAGGTATCCCAAATCAGCTAATTGGCTCCTTTTTCTCTTTTTCAGATAGGTTTTGGATTTTTCGAAAAGTCCAGTTGGTGGCTCATATAAACTAGACAAGGATTGGGACACCCCTAGTAAAGGTGTATTTTTCACTTTTCCCCTCTTTTTTTTCCACGAATATGCTGTTTATAATGAGAAATAGTGTGGACCGTTACGAGGCAAATTTTAAGTAACCAAAATTCAATGAAAACCCTTTGTCATCATGTACCCATGGCCCTCCAAAAAGTGGTCCTTTCCGATTGCATTAGCAGAAAATGTAATTGCTACACGGATTCGAACCCAAATTTCACTAGATCGAAGTGCCGCTTTAAGAGTTGGTCAGGGGGGACAAATGGTTTTCCATCAAAACCGCCATTGCCAATGCTGTAGCCTTTTAAGATCACAGACAATCGGAATTTCGAGAGGTACATACATACACACAAACAGTTCCGTTGTCGTGGCTGCATTAGTGAGAGGAGGGAAATGAGTTTTCTTTTGTGTTCTCGGTTAGTGCAGCATGAAGTAGATTGAAAAAATAGGGGGGGGGGGGGAGGGAGCTTACCCCTTAATGCCACTGCTCTTATCCCCACTCAGTAGAGGTTATAAAGTTGATGCTGCTGGTTCTGCTGCTACAGAAGTTGTAGCAGCAGCAGCGGTGACAATAAAAGACGGAAGAAGGAGGGAAGGGGGTGGGGGAAAGCGAAACACTAGAATCACCGTTTCTTGCCTTTACAAAGAAAATAGGAAATTTTGTGCACATGTCTTGGTCGTTTGTGACTGCAAGTGTTTTCGCTATCTCCATGATGCCTGATGGTGGGGTGTCTTCGTTAAACCACAATGTATGTGATAACTGCATCCAACTAACCCTCAATCAGAAAGACAAGAGCAATGAACTTAAATTTTGATGGCAGATAAGTTTTAAAACAGATTTCTTACAAATTATTTCGTATATTGTCTACTCATGTTATATGCTATAGGTTTGCGTTAAAACCTGATAATTTCAAATTTATTATGATGAGGTGCATCATAGACTACTCATTCTAAGCAATTCTATTTTATCGGAATTTTTAAGTAGTTAAAAAGTATAACCTAAATCTAAGGTCACTTGTATAGCTTGCTGGCTTACATATTCATTATAGAATGGTGAAATGTCACTTCCCTTAATTGTGTGCCCAACCAAGTGGTCACCTTCAGTCACCGATTCTCCCACTTCCATGTTGATTCTGAGGTTTCTTTTTCGTGCCACAACCACACTAATGCTTCCACAGCTATTCTCCGCTCTGGTTAAGAGGTCACCTTTAGCGTGAGGTCATGTTGCGCCCTCGTGAATAACTCGGACACTACATTAACGTCGCTTCTCTGTTTACTTGCGAAGGAATTATTCTAAATAGCAAATTGTCTTAACAAACTCACTTAAAATATTTATTATTCGCTTTTCAACTTTGGATTGCCTTAGAACAGGTTATATCACCTATCAAGTGATCGAAGATTCATACTATTTTTAGCCCAGGTCTCTGTAGTGCCTTGTTATAACATACAGGTAGCTGTAAAATGCAATCAATTGTTTGTAAAAACGTCTCATAAAGCATAGAGAGGTGTCACTCTATTAGTACGGTGCTCTTTACTGTGTAGATTAAACTAGATGGAAGTGATTGAACCCTTCTTGTTCTACGAACCAAGTTGTAGTCTGTTCCAAAGTCCCACAAGCTTCTTGTCAAGGCTGGTGGGCAACATTTGGAGAGAACGGCAACAGAACTCGCTGTTCAAAGTTTTTAAGTCGTTTATAATATGAATTCCACGGAAAACAATGCAGCGCCTTCTGAAGTACCATCTAACCCTCATAACGAAGAATTACGAGCCGGTAATATACACAGCAATCCTCTATTACCCTCATAATAATTTTCAGCAGTATCTACCGTAGTTAGTAAAATAAACTGGTGACACGCATCACTGTCGAGGGTACCGGAAGAAAGGTAATCTAATTCGGGAATTGCAGCGACCGGTAATATGCATCTTGAAACCCTGAATTGGTGATAAACCAAGAAGACAGATGAAAAAACCCCCTAAATTATTCAGTACAAATAAAATATAAAACTAACCCATTGGGAACAGATTGTCTAATATCTGCAACGACTAGACCCCCTGTTGGAAGGGCGAAAATATACAACACGACCTTCCCCTATCATCCAACTCCTCCTTGGAGCTTATGCGACATGAAAGCAAAAAGTTGTTTGTTTAGGGAATAATGGTAAACATTAAACCTTGTTAATGTAAACAATCACCTTATCTAAAATGACCAGTAATCTATCCCACTAAAAATGGGTGAAAAAAGGTGAGACGCTTCCCTTCAAGTGGATAGACTAAATTTCAAGCCTATGGAATTCAGAAGCACTTCAATCAAATTAAAGCAAATTCGGGCAAATTTGTCAACCTTTTTGTTGAGCAGAAAAAAGAAATTGGATAGCACTTTAACAAAGGAGACTGGTAGTACTTTTGATTAGTTTAACTGCGCCATTGAGTTGGGTCCCACTTGAAAGCATTGAAACTTGACCCACGTTAGGCTATCCCGCTGATTCTCCCATCTAAATCTAAACGGGAGTCAACATAAACTGAAAAATAGACGAGGAAATCAGATTGTAATGCATGTTTTGCTTGCTTAAGTCTGAGTTTTAATGGCGCTGTCATTTAAGGCTTGGCTTTTGTACTTTTGATGGGTGGTCTGGCCTCCGAGCCGATGCCAGTAATTTTGTACGACGGCAAAATCTCTGATCACTGATGTCAACCAGTGTCAAACTTATCAGCGGTCTACCAAAACTAAAATTTGAAATGTAGGTTCATGATACTCTGTTTTGGATTATATTTTTCCCTATTCATAAATAATATCGTGCCTAGGAAGATCACCTATCTACCCGCCCTTCACTCCCTTTCTCCCTCTTTAGTTAGCTGGAGGAGTCATTTAGTCCCTACTAGAGGTGATCAATCGTGTCGAATGCCTCCTCCTCGAAGCCAATCGAGAAGGTAAACATGGAGTGGAAGCTAGAAGTAAGAAGAGCGGCAGCTTTACTCATTCAACAAAAAAACCTCCCCTCGATTTATTGTATGCGTGCTGCAATGTACGTACCTCCCCAAGAGGTGCAATAAATAAGCAGGCTAAGGGAGATAACCGAAGCAGCAGCTCTTAATATACCACCATAAACTGTGTCTAAGTGCTCGGTTCTCCTCTCTTTTCCGCGCCACTCCTCTCCTCCCTTTTCCTCACTTTTGTCATAGACGGGATAATTACCAAGCTCATGGAGGCACGATTGTGCAACCTAGAGTTATACTGCCCCGTGATAACGGGTAAAACGAGAAGTCTTTAGCCGACTGATGAAGAAGCGGAATTTGAGAGAACAGACGACTAGCTAAGTGGAACACAAAAGGTGGGGAAAAGGTGCCTCCTGTTTTGTGGTTGCGTAACAAAATGAGAAAAGCCTGTCTGTACTTATGTGAGAAGACCGATGTGTGGGTTTTGCTGCTTTGCTCTACAGCCGACTAGACGACTAGTTTAAAACTTTGATTTAATTATTTTCCGGCCATCTTGGAGCAAAACGGTGCAAAAAAATATTATGTTAAAAATCCATTAGTTCAAAAACTAGGTGGAGGCAACTTTGGTGTTAGGTGTGGTGATATCTCTCATCAACTGGATATTTCCAGCCTCCGTGACGATGTGGTGAACCTTACAGCTCCTTCTCACGTTTGTAAAGAGGCTTCTATCAGGGTTGTGTGCATGCTATAACGGATAGGACGCTTTAACCTGCACCAATGAAAAGTGGTCATCTCTGTCAGGTGTCAAAAAAGGCATATATGGGCAGCTCTGTTGTCACTAGCCTCCTAAAAATGTGCGTTAATTTATCTCGCAGTGTGAATTTTGGGACCTAGGATTGCAACATCCTTATTCCCTGTCATAATACTGACCACATTAGTTACATAGATGGTCCATAGCTTGCTCAAATCTACCTAATTAACTTACTTCCACCTTATTTGCTTCTACTTTACATTCCTCCATGTTCTCTTTTTCCTGTCCTCTAGTCAAATCAATCAATGCTGAAACGATGAGTTGCCAGCCCTCATTTACTTGAATCACTCATGACTGCAATGTTTAGATTGAGAGAAGTGGAACGAAAACGGAATGCCTCCCAGAGCCATTAACTCGCCTCTTTGAGAATCTTCTACTGCATTGTGGTTCTCTCAGAAAATAGCATTTTCTCCAAGCAGGGGTCATTCTCTCACGTACTTTATAGGGATAGATCAAATGCAATAATACCCATGAATACCTGCAAATTGGCAATATTTCCCATTGCACCCAACTCCAGAAAATGAAAAAAAAAACAGTCAAAAAGGGATTTTTCGTGCCAACTTTTTGCCTAAATATGCTAGTAATTCTCCTGATTTCAAGTTACCCCTACCATTGTCTCCTCCGTAAGTGCGGAAAATTGTTAATAGGCACCCAGTACTCCCCGCGCCTTCTTTGTCTTTTATTCTGTATATTTAATAGCAGAAAAGCTTCAGAAAGTTGTAATTTTTAGTCATGTTTTTTTCTAGTTTGTAGTCCCTATTTCATTTTGATGTTGCCCAATAGGGGACCAATCAGAATATGCCCTTTTGCTTTGGCGGCCCGTTTAAGTAGCAAATTTCCACTTTGACATTCCTACAAACTTTTGCATAATGACAGATTGTTTAATAAATAAAACAAATTAAACAAGTGCTTACCTAATGTTAAAAATTGACTTTGTTGTGTCATTACTTTTCATTGCAACATTTCCAGCAGACCCTCATTCTTGATATTTTAAAATCTATGCTCACCTAGAAATCCTTCTTCTCGCTTTCACTAGTCGACCCAAAACTTTAAAATTTGTAAATCACTCTTCATTAGATGGTAAAAATTTTCACTGATAAGTGAATTAAGAGGAGAAAAAAGGCGGCAACGAGTTCCACTATGTGCTACCTTCCAATGAGGTGAGAGTGGGAACTAAGCCATTATCTCTGCGACTGATCAGAGGTGGAAGAATTTTAACTTCATCTAGCCATTTGGCTAACAAAAGTAGACGACCTACGCGTAACTAAAAATCGAGTGTTGGTGAGATCAATTGGGGTGCTGTCCTTGAACCACCGGACCAAAGGTGAAGGCTCGCCCTGGGTTCGACACTCCAGTTCCACTTTGTCGTTCTTCTTCGCCACAATGACCGAGAAGACATTCAGGAAGCGAGGAAATCCCGATGGAGCTACTGAAGTAACAAAAAGGGCAATTTGACTTGCGGAAGAAAAGTGCTTTTAGCAAATTCTTTTCTTCGGAAATCTGAAGCCTTTTGGGACTAGTTTCTATTGTCTTCAATGTGGCTGGCCTAAAAATTTTGTCAAAATTTTCTTTTTATAGGTGGGTGTTGCCAGGAAGAAAATTCGCTGCATTTATTCAAGACAAACCAAAACTTCCGATTGCATTGGAGCACAGTGGTTGCGCCACACATGCTGAGAAGTGACAAGCCCGACTTTTGACTAATACCCAGTGGGTGTATCATGGACCAGTCCACTCTAGACACCCTTGGTCGAGACGGTTAGTGTTTTCTAGAAGATTTTTAGACCCTAGTCTAAAATCTACTGTTTTATGGATTTCAAAACCTCCACTTCTGCAGTGAAATATACATTCTCATTCAAAAGTTGTATAGTACTTCTTAACATTCTTTTAGGTAGTATGTATTAGTAGTCACTTCCAATCGTTTTAACCAGACCAATGATGGCCAAATTACAGCAAAAGATGTCTAAAAATTAAAGGTCACATCCTAAACATTCCCTCCATTTCAGTGTTTTTGGTCGT